ATTAAAAGATCTCTTCCGCCTCTCCACTCCCCTCAAACCAACATAATATAAGTTTTGTTTTATTAGCTTTAAGATGGGGATAGCTCTAAGTGATTAAACAATCATTTGAATCATATTAAGAAGGTAAGTTTGAATCCTTTCAACATTGTTAAGAGCAAACAATTTCAATGAATTATACCCACCACCACCAACCTTAGAGATAATTAGGTTGAAATCTTATTATCTTTTTCCTAATAGAGGTAAAAGGTTATAAATTTTAAAAAACTAAAGTGTAGTACATGCTTCTTATAACAATTAATAAACGAATACACCCTTTTAATATTAAAGACTCAACCCTCTATTAATACTAAAAATAATACAATATCTCATAATATCAAGACCCACTCCTCCATCAAGCGCATTGCACCACAGCACTCTCCATGGAAAAGAAAATGTTGAAGCCAAACCATTGTCTTTTTTCTTTTCTTTTCTTTTTTTTTTTGCGAAAAATATTAAAATAGCCCATAGTCAAGCAAAGATATGGGCCTGTAGTGCAGGTCCAAGCCCAAACCAGAGATTTTTAGCCCGAAAGCCCAAACCACAGAAGAAAACAATCTTAGATCGGACATCAGTTACCTCGTCTCTATTACTCCATCGCCGACCGTCCATCCTCTTCTCATGAACCCCATAAATAACCGTTGGATCCCTTCCTTCTTCTCCTTTCCTTCCGACCCAGTCTGGCGAAGACTTCAGCCACATCCGTTCCGTAGACGAAACCAAAGCCTCTTCCTTGCTGTCTCTCTTCGGCGCTTCGTAGATCAGAATCTGCCCGTGCGTTCAGATCTCTTCTCATTGTTATCGTTTTCCGGTTCCGATTCATAATCGGATTGTGGTTTTTTTAGGTTCAACCTAACTTTCAATTTTTGCTGTTTTTGTTTTGGATGGGAGACAGATTATTGGAGATGGAAAAGGAGCTGGTGGATTTGTTCGAAGCAGCTAAGAAGGCGGCGGATTTGGCAGCCGCTGACGGTGTTTCGTCGAGCGGTCCGGAAGTTTCCCGGTGCATCGATGCCTTGAAGCTTCTCAAGGGATTTCCCGTCACTAAAGATGTTCTTGTCTCTACTCAGGTATTTTCTTTTGAATTTCGTTGTGCTGTTCGAAGAAATAGGAAAAAGAGAATTTTTGAGATTTTCTGTTTTTTGTCAAGTTTTCTATCACTTGCCTTTGGATTGAACTGGAATACACTGCAAACGTGGGCTTAAGAGTTCAATTCGTACATGATTTTCATGGTTGATTGAAAAGGGAGTTCTTTTGGTCTTTTCGTGTGAGCAAAGAATTAGTTTTTTTAGTATGTTTTGATTTCTTTTCTTAATTAAAAACAATGAACAGAGAGCTAGAATAGTAAGATTATGTGCAAATCTTTTGCTGCAGTCATGGTTTATACACAGAGATGTCTAATTAAATTACCCCGAGTGTTTGTGTTGAGGTTGTCGTACTTGTGATGAAATTAGGAAGGTTTGAACTTTGAATAGTTTTTATGAGTGGAAGGAGAATCTTACTTTGTTTTTTTAAGAAACAGTCTCTTTGGGGGTAGGAGACATGGAGAACTGGAATTTTCTTTTCCTTGTTTGGAAGGGTGGAATCTTGGTCAGAAAATGAATTAAATGTCTATTGTGTTTCATATCTATAGTTTTATAACTTTTCATGTAATGAATCTTATTTTTTCTTTAAATGTTATCGTGAAATTAGTATAAACTGGTAAAGTTCTAAGGTCTACCTTGTTTCCTCCTTACTTTTTCTTTCCAAGTTTACAAGATGAGAACTTGGATGATAAACACTCCTCTCTGTCATTTTGTAAATACTTTTCCCCAATAGCAAGTAAGAGAAAAATATTCTCTCTCCTCAATTTTCCATCCACCTCTTTCTGTTGTCCCATTTTTATTCTTTCCTTGCATACAAATCACTTACATGCACTTTAAATTGTTTTTTACTCTGCACTTATTCTTTTGGTTGAGAGTAGGGATAGGATAGATGTGCCATGAAATAGTATACTAATACTTATGTAAAGTATTTTGATGCTATTAAGAAAACAAGGTTCATGTTGCCATGAAATTTGAGTCTTGACTGCTTAAGTTGTCACACTAATCATTTTCTGTAAACAGTATTGTCCGACTGTGATTCTATCAAATATGTTAGCCTACCCATGATGCCTACAGCACTGACCCACATTTTTTACAAATGTGGTAGTAAAGTTTCGTTCTTTTCATGGTTCTTACCTGACAACTAACAACTTTATACATGCTATTCTTTATTAGCTAGCTGTTTTTTTTTTTTCCATTTAACTTTGTAAACACATTATGATATTGTAATGTTTACTCTCTTTCCATACATGGGTGCATTTTTGTAGCTGAGTCTGTTTAATTCCTCTTATCATATTTCAGGTTGGCAAAATGCTTAGACCCCTCACTAAACATCCTAGAGAGAAGATTCAATCTGTGGCTTCTGGCTTGCTTGAGTCGTGGAAGAAAATAGTTATTGAGGAGACAGCCAGAAGTAAGAAAAATGGCAATGCTACTACTGTCAAAGTAGAGAATGTTCAGAAAGCAAGCACAATAAAGGTGGAAAAGGTCTCAAGTGTTGGCTCAAATAGTCCAAGAGGTAGGAGCTCAACATCAAGTGCCGAAAGTATCAAAGTTGAGAAAGTATCTAGAGGTGATTCAACAAGAACTGTCAAAGTTGAAAAGAAGGAAGCGAATGGGGATGCTGTAATGGTTGAGAGGAAGGATCGTGGAGATACTGTTAAGGTTGAAAGGCTAAATAAAGATGAGAAACAATCTTTTAATGTTAACAAACTATCACAAACACCAAATGCTCCCCCAAGGCTGACATCTCTGGTGAGATGTAATGATGCTCTACGTGACAAAATACGTGAAATTCTTGCAGAGGCCTTGTCCAAGGTTGCTGGTGAGGCTGATGAGGACGTTAGAGATGAAGTCAATGCTTGTGACCCCCTCAGGGTTGCTGTTACTGTAGAATCTGTAATGTTTGAAAAGCTGGGTAGGTCAAATGGCACCCAGAAATTCAAGTACAGGTCAATAATGTTCAACATCAAGGACCCAAACAACCCAGATTTAAGAAGGAAGGTTCTTCTTGGTGAAGTGAAGCCAGAGAGGCTCGTTAACATGACTGCAGAAGAAATGGCCAGTGAACAAAGGCAACGTGAAAATAACCAAATAAAAGAGAAAGCTTTATTTGATTGTGAGCGTGGTGGTGCTCCCAAGGCCACCACTGATCAATTCAAGTGTGGTCGTTGTGGTCAACGCAAGACCACCTATCATCAAATGCAGACAAGGAGTGCAGATGAACCTATGACAACCTATGTGACCTGTGTAAACTGCAACAACCACTGGAAGTTCTGTTAGCGGATCAGTCATGCATGCAGCAGGGTAGACCAGGGCTGATTTTTCTGGATCCTTTCTTCGATTTTATCATTCATTTTTATGGTAATGATGTTAGTTTGTCTTTCTTGCTCATTTTATCTGTAGAGATATCTTTAAGCGTTAACATGGCATCTGGAGATTATTTTCATAGCCATGATGACTTAGCTATCTTGTTTTAGGAACTTTTCACAGCCCTCCACCCTCCCAAAATCAAAGTATGTCATTATGATGTCTCTTGGTTTTGAATACTTATGTCAGAATACTGCTTGTTGTTTCTTATAGAATGTTACCAAAACCCTCACAGGCTACTCGTTTGTAATATTGCTTATGAGATGTTGGAAGGGTTGGGAGGATGCAAGTATTAGAATTAGGCCAACTTTATTTAGCATGTACCTTACTTACAATGCCGCAAAGGCATGCCGTGAAGCTTTTGATTGCATTTATTTATTCAGCTTTCCAACAATGAATTTACTGTATTTATGGTTGTGTTCTTGAATGAGGTAGCATTCTTGACTGTTTACCTTGCTATCTATTTTTTTTTTCTTGAATACTATGTAGCACCTATATGATTAAGCTTTTGATGTTCCACCTTTCCTAGCCACTACCAAAGCTAACCCTAGAATTCAATTAGGTGAAGTTCTCTGAATCTTGTCCTTGAACACCTTTTCAAAATTAGTCAAAGTCAAGGCCTTTTACTGATCAATCTTCTGTTTTGGAAATTGTTAGATGTTCTTAATTAGCTATCTTGACCATTGTAGAGGTTGTATAGAAAATGTATTCAGTCTTGGGAGATATGTTGAGCACTTATGAATAGATATATCTTGTGAGGTTCTGTAAATCAAGTCTTTTATCAACTTTCAATCAACTGAGTTAAGATTTATGAGTTAAGATTTATTTGAGGAATTATCCTTTGTTCTTAAGTCTCTATCTCTCATAGGATGCTTGATTTGAGGGGAGGAGAAACAAATCTTTTATTTAGTTACTAAAAAAATGAAGGGGAGGGAGGGAGAGGAGGAAAATCATTTACATTATTATTATTATTTTTTAATTCTTTTACTTATTCAGACATACTATTAGGCGTTGGTGATATATATACCCTTGTGAGTGAACTTCCTCTTTAGCCTCCTCAAGCCTACATCATTCAAACCATGCATGGTCACCATTCTTGAGCTTATTAGCATGGATTGTGTTCTCACATCAATTTTTTTTTATTAGGCTTACCATTCTAAAAAAAATTATCATTTTCTTATTATTAATTTGTCTCAAATTAATTTTATTTTTTTATTTTTTGAGGTAGATAAATATTTTTTTTACTTTAATCATATTGTTATCTATTAGTTTTAATTAATCATTTTATCACAAAATATCTCATTTTCTTTTTTATTTTTTTAAATGTAATATAAGTAAAAATATAAATTATCTTTATATTGTTAATTTGAAGGAAAAAAACTGCTTTTTTTTTTTTTTTTGAGAGAGAGAGAGAAGAGAGGGAGTGTTATTTTTATTCAATGAAATGCAGAAGCTCAAATCTAGACAGAAAACAGCAGGTCTTTAAAATAGCCAAGGCTGCAGTCTCTAGCTTGTAACTTGTAAGAAGTCACGCAACCGGACAACATGTCCACACCCACGTCTCAAGAATCATTGCCTGCAATGGTTCCTATGTATGTTTATTTCAAAGTTTCAGAACACTAATATGTATTCAACTTTAATTATGTTAATTAGATTTTTTGACTTTTAAGATATTAATTTTAAATGAAAATTTAACATAATATATAAATAACATCTCAATTTTTTTATTAAATAAAATTACTCAACAAAAATTATACATAGGGAAAATAAAATTTTTAATTATCATTCATATATTTTATCAAATTTTTATTTGAAATTAATTTTAAAAAATTAAAAAAATCAAATTAAGTCAATTAAAATTGGATAGAGGGAGTACCATAAATTTTTAACAAAACTAGTGGTATGATACGAGTGTGTGTGTGTGTGTCTCTCTCTATATATATATCTATATAAACATACATATATGTATAAAATTAGTGTTCATCAGCTAAATTTAAAAAAATTAGGAAAAAATTGTAAGTCCATGGGTCATTTTTGCAAACAATTCTATAAATATATATTTTCAAATAAATTAAAATTTATTCTTCTGCGATTATATTCAATTAAAAGATATAAAAATAAAATTAGTCCTCAAGAAAATGGAATTCATAGGACGTCTTTAGAAATTTTTACAAGCACAATAATAATAGAAAAATTAGTATGTCATAACATAATTTTAGGCAAATCGGTACTTATCATCTTAAAAATCTTAATTTGAGATTTTTTTTTCTTTTATTTTAAGTTACACAATAAAAAACAACTTTATCTCGTCCCTTAACTCATTTTCACTTACATATCTTATGACTCAAACCTATAACTTATTACTTTTACTCAAAAGAAATTATCATAGCTAACTAAAGATTAAATTTAGGAGTTCAAATCCCTAACCATATTGCCAAACAATTAACTTCTTCTAATGTATTAAAAAAGAACATTGTAAGGAAACATCGTGAATATAATAAGGATCTTGATCTTAAGGAATTCCAAAATTTCCCCCAACTCCAACCCAAGGCTGTAGATCACTCCCATTTTCAGGAACTTGATTGATATCTTCATCAATGTATAATCAACAACATCATTACTATCATCAAGGTTTATTTGTTCCAAGTCCGCTTGTTTGATTCCCCAACATTTTCTTGTTTGCTTATTTCATTTGTTGCAACAAATATCTCATATCCAAAATATAAGATCTAGGGAAAATTCTTGCCCCATTCTCGCTTGTGTCTAGCGATATCTATGCGTTTAGAAAGGAAGAAGGCGAAGCTTTTTATGCAGGGCTCCTGAAAGTCCTAGATCCATGCATTTCTCAGATCAAATAAAGGAAAATCCCCTCCCTGTTCTGCTTTGTTTTCTACAGATTCTTCAGGATCAATGAAGAAAACCTCTCGATGTTACCAAGTAATGCCAAACGTTGCACCAATGTTTGGACAGGATTGAGGTTCTTGCAGCTTCCATAAAAGGTAGGAAAGAGATGATGATGAGCAGCAGAGAATTGCTCAACACCTTGGAATTGATGTTTGGTGGGAAGAGCTAAGCGATTGTAAACCCTTGTCAGAATAGCTCCATTCTGTTTGGGAAATGAGAAAGTAAGTGAGAAAAAACAGTGTGTGATTGGTTATATGAAGAATCCAGAGGTTGTAAAATTCGAAAAATGAGAGTTTAAGACATTTAAAAAATTAGATTAAGGACCAAAAAAATACTTTTGAGATGTTAAAAGGTTTTGTAGCTTACCCTAGCTAGCAAAGGCTTGTTGATTTGGTAAATCACTAATCCGATCAAAAGCGTTATGGCCTTGACAACCTTCTTTTCCTTCTTCATCTTCTTCGCAGCTACCTCCTCTAATAACCTTGTTCATCTGGACATACACATCTAAAGGCAATGCCCACCCTATTCTACCATTTGGAAGCCAAACTTGTTGAGAGGCATGACGGATAAGAGAGTACAGCATCCTATTTATAGAAGAAAATTAAAAAGAAAGAAAGGAAAAAAAAAAAAAAAAACCTTGTTCATCTGGACATACACATCTAAAGGCAATGCCCACCCTATTCTACCATTTGAAAGCCAAACTTGTTGTGAGGCATGACGGATAAGAG